TTTGTGAGGTTTCACGTTTCTAAATATTTGGATTCCTTTTAGTTCTTTGGTCAGATCCATTTTGCACCAGATTCTTAGGCTATGTAAAGGAATGACTCGAAGGAAACAGAATGGGACAAAAAAAAAAAAAAAAAAAAAAAGGCAAGTTATTTAAGGTGTTGACTTAGTGGCAATATCAATTCATCAAAAAATTTTCACAAATAGATTACTCAAAACACCAAAGACATATTTTTTTTTTTTTTTGTTCTAGGAATGTCAAGAATGTCCAGAAAGGATAAGCAGACCACAGCTGGACCATATAAAAGTCACAGTTTTTTCAGAAGGTTCATGTTTTAAAGATTTTTTTAAAGAGTGTACTTTTTAGGCTCAAGTAGCTGAAACATATTTGAAGGTTAAATGAATTTACCTTGAGTGAAGAAAAACCTTCCAGGAAACCTAATTGTTTTCTTCATAGAGAGGCCAGTCTTCAAAAATGTTAGAAACACAGAGAAAACCACAATGGTGTGTCAAGGGAACCTTTCTTGAATTTTAGCCAGAATGAATCAGTCTCTCAGAGCTTACTTTTCACTGGAATTTATATCCCATTACAGATGGTACTTCAGCAGAGGGATGTGCTTAGTGTTACTCTGGTAGGAATCTCACTAGCCATAAACATTCCAGAAAGACACACCTAAGCCAGCTCTACTAGGAGTCAGGATGGTACAGTAATTTACCAGGACAGCTGAGAGGGTGAAGCTGGGTCAGAGATAAGCAGCAGTTGAATGTTCATTTCTCACCCACCACCTGACAAGCTCAGGCATGGGTCTGAGGGCACAGGTGTGATGCTTGTGTCTGCCTAAGCTCTAAAGATGCCATGATACAACCTGTCAGACTGTAACAATACTCACCCCTGATACTTAACAGTCGCCAAAGCAAACACACGTCCTAAACTGATGCATGGATGCTGAAATACAATCCTCAGTATTTTTTTAAATACTGTTGTGATTTTCAGTTTCTCCTAGGTTTTTGTTACACTTATTTAATAAATATTTATTAAGTGCCTCCCATGGGTCAGGGCTTTCCTTATGGTTGAACCAAACAGAGGAAAGAGAGCTGCCAACATTGGCCCTGTTCAGTTTCCCTCCAAGAAAACAAATTCCCGAAGGAGTCTGCAGTTTAGGGTTGATGTTTTCTGTGGCAGCTGCCAGCTGCAGGGGAACAAAAGTGTCATGGCTCACTGGTGACAGATGGAAGTAACTGCTTGGGTTAAAAAAATAAATACACGTTTATGGACCAACAACACAAAAAAGCCAAATTTCTGTAATTACACAATGTTTAAGCTATGAAATCATATAAAAGTGGAATTTAGATGAAGCCCCTTCATGTTGCCAAAATTCTAATAGATTTGAGAAAGAAGATATTATGATTATGAAAGAGATTAACACCCACTGCACACTCCCTGCCTGTAGTGCGGTTAACACCATGCTTTCTGTTGCAAGTGACAGAAAGGCAACTCTAAATAGTCTGAGCATGAAGAGTCTATTGGCTTGTGTAATTGGTAAATTCAGGGTGGAGCTCATTTCAGGATGAGAGACCCAAGGTCTCAGTTAAGTTCCTTGGGTCTTTCAAAATTTTTTTTTTTTTTTTTTTGCCCATTATTCTGGATGTATTCTCTGCAGGAGAGCTTTTTCTACAGATAGAGAAATTGTTAGACAATATTCCCCAGTTAATATCTGCCCCACATCCAAAATGCAAAAAAAAGCATTTTCTCCCCACTCCTAAATGTAGGTCCCTGGAGGGACTCCAGTTGCCCTGACTTGGATTTCAGGCCCCTGCCTGGGACAGTTGCTAAGTCAAGCAAATAGAATATTAAGAATGTCTAGAATATCATGTGCCCACTACAGAGTAGGGTCCTCGTTGAAGAATATCATCAAAATCACCCAACTGCTTTGCTGTGGAGGCAAGAATTCCCCAAAGGAAGAAAGAGGAGTTTTGCAAACAAAGTCAAAAGACATTGCTAAAGATTTTAAGCCCTGGCTTTATATCTGCTCTTCCCTCTTGGTTCAGCCATGTTACCTTGGATTTTTAAGTAATATGATTATACTTCTAGCTCAGTGGTTCTTAAACTTTAACACCATCAGACTCATCTGTGTTGTCAACACACAGACTGCTGGGACCCATCCTAGGTGTTCTGATTCCACAGCCTGTTTCAAGGTTATGTAGATGTCCCTGGTCCACAACAACACTTTAAAGACGACTGTCTGAGAACTCCTTGTTCAAAGGAGTAACAGTACCAGATACATTTTGCAAGTAAATGCTTTCACATCTTTGAGAAACACATATAACTCTCATGCTGATTAGCTTTAGGACTTTAGGTAAGTTACTTACCCATTCTGCCAGTTTTTTTCTGTGAAAGATGGAATAATTGTACTTCATATGGCTATTGGAGAGATTAAGTAAATTAATGTATATACCAAACATAGGCAATATTTGAAAGTATTTAAGCTGCTCCAGTGAACAGAGAAAGAAATCACCCATAGTATTAAAAATAGAATAAAAAAATGTGTACTAAATCCTGAAAAGGATTATGCACACCAACCTCACTTATGAATTATCCTTGAAGAATCCTAAATATTAGCAAATGGAATCCAGCTGTACATTAAGTAGTGCAGCAACACAGCCAGATGAGTTTCATTCCAAGAATGGGGGATGGTTCAATGTTAACATATTTAGAAATATACTTATTACAGTAGGAGATCTGAAGCAAAAAAAAAAAATTATATATATATATATATATGTATATGGTCAGCGTAGATGCTGAAAGGTGATTGACATTGCTTCCTAGTGAAATATTTTATTAAAGTCAGGTTAGATGGGTAGTAGGCATTTGTCAATTTTTGGCTATCCAGCATGCGTGTCCTATTCTGGTGCAAGAAATTCATGTGAATCTTGTTGGAATACCGGCTCCCACTAGAAAGTCAGGCACTTCCTGTCCCTAGAAGCCACAGTGTAGGAATGTGACAGGAAGGACTCAATTATCAGAAGAGTACTTGGACCAGATGAATTAATCTTTTCAAATCTGATATTTCTTTTCTTTTTTTTTTTTGTAAGAGACAGAGAGAATTTTTTTAATATTTATTTTTTAGTTTTCGGCGGACACAACATCTTTCTTTGTATGTGGTGCTGAGGATCGAACCCGGGCCGCATGCATGCCAGGCGATCGCGCTACCGCTTGAGCCACATCCCCAGCCCCAAATCTGATATTTCTTACTGGATGCCCAATCAAGGGAATATGGAAAACTCCCAGACTTCCAGGGAACATGTAATTTCATAATTCCGAGTCTTTTTACAGACATCTTCAGTCTTACCATGGATTTGATGGGCCACCAAATAGCCCTCCAACATTTTCTTCCTTTATGTTACTCAGATTCTGCCTTTGATGTTTGAAACCGATTTTTGACTAGTGCAATACAATATGAATACCTTCTTGACCTAATTTTCTTTTTTTTTTTGAACCCAGGGGTACTCTACCACTGAGCTACATCTCAAGGCCCTTCTTATTTTTATTTATTTATTTATTGGCCTCATCTTCCTCTAATGTTTTAAAAAAATTATTCTAATCAAATAACATGACAGTAGAATGCATTTTCACATATTATATACAAATGGAGCACAACTAATCAGTTTTCGGTCTCTACATGGTGCAGAGTCACACACATATATAGGGTAATAATGTTCATCTCATTCCACTGTCCTTCCCACCTCCACACCCATTCCCCTCCCCTCTTCTCTCCCAATACAAAATTCCTTCATCCCCCCCCATCCCGACACCCATATGGATCAGCATCCACTTATCAGAGAAAACATTTGGCCTTTGTTTTTTTGGGATTGGCTTATTTTGCTTAGCATGATATTCTCCAGCTCCATCCATGTGCCTGCAAATGCCATATTTTCATTCTTCTTTAAGGCAGAATAATATTCCATTGTGTATTTATCCCACATTTTCTTTATCCATTCATCTGTTGAAGGGCATCTAGGTTAGTTCCATAGTTTAGCTATTGTGAATTGAGCTGCTATAAACATCAATGTGGCTGTGTCACTTTAGTATGAGGATTTCAAGTCCTTTGGGTATAAACTGAAGAGTGAGATAGGATAGCTAGGTCAAATGATGGTTCTATTCCAAGTTTCCTGAGGAATTTCCATACTGTTTTCCATAGTGGTTGCACCAATTTGCAGACCCACCAGCAATATGAGTGTACCTTATTCCCCACATCCTCAGCAGCAATTATTGTTGCTTGTATTGTTGATAATTGTCATTCTGACTGGAGTGAGATAAAATCTTGGAGTAGTTTTGATCCACTTTGAGTTGATTTTTGTGCAGGGTGAGAAATAGAAGTTTAATTTCATTTTGCTACATACGAGTTTTCCCAGCATCATTTGTTGAATACACTGTCTATCTTTTCTCCAATGTATGTTGTTGGCACCTTTGTCTAGTATAAGATAACTGAATTTATATGGGTTTGTGTCTGTGTTTCTATTCTGTACCATTGGTCTACATGTCTGTTTTGGTGCCAATACTATGCCATTTTTGTTACTATGGCTCTGTAGTATAGTTTAAGGGCTGGTATTGTGATGCCTCCTGTTTACTCTTCTTGCTTTGTCCTGAAATCTTCACTAGGAGATTTCGTGGTGGCCTTGGCATGTTTTTGGAGGAGACGGCTTTGAGGGGGGAGCATGCCAACCGCCATCACCAGAGCATGTCACTCAGAGGTCTTGGGTTTTGGGATCCGTGGATCCATCCTCCTGCAATCCTTCCTGCACCCTCCGTTATTATGGCCTAAGGTCTTCATGGGTGCGTCCTCCCGAAGTGGAGGGGCCCATGGAGGAGCGAACCCTTATGGCAAGGGCAGAAGATGGTTGGTCAGAGCTGTTACTTATACTTTTATATAAGAAAGAGAGATCTGTGGGGATGTAAACTTAAGAAATAAGCCTGTGTGCCCAATCTCCGGCTTTTCTTCCTCAGCGACTCCGCTTCTCATCCTTCAAGCCCAGAGTTCTCTGCTCCAGGGACTCAGGTGACTCTGCTGCCTGTGACCCCCCCCACACCCCCATCTCGGGTGCCTGGAGGTTCCTCGAGAGGACGCTGGGTCGCCACAGAAGACAAAAATGATGTCAGTGACCTTCAAGGATGTGGCTGTGAACTTCATGCAGGAGGAGTGGGATTTGCTGGATGCTTCCCAGAAGAACCTTTACAGAGATGTGATGCTGGAAGTCCTCAGAAACCTGGCATCTATAGGAATCAAATGTGATGAGAAGAACATTGAAAATCGGATCAAAAATTTGGGGAGCAATCAAAGGCAGATCACATCTCACTATGGACCCGAATGCCTCAAGCAGGAAGAATGTGAGGAGAAGCCAGGTGAATTGAAACTATACAGGAAATCTCTGGTTTCTCTCAAAAGTGTTCATACACAAATGTTAACACAAACTGGAGATGGACCCTATGAAAGTACAGTATGTGGGAAAGTCATCAGCTGTTCCAATGACATTCAAAGGCATGAAGATTCTTGTACTGGGTGGCAACCTGATGAATGTCAACAATGTGATGAAGCCTCATCTTCTCCCATAGATGTTCAAAGTCACACAAGAACACATAGGGGAGGTAAAGCTTTTCAAAGTGAGGTCTATACAGTCACGTGATCACGCACACTGGGAAAGTACTTTTTAAATGTAACGTATGTGGGAAAGACTTTGCTTACCAAAGTTTATTTAGAATACATCAGAGAAAACATACTAGAGAGAGATCCTATGAAAGTCAACAATGTGGAAAAGCCCACACTACTTTGTCTTATCTTCAGATACAAGAACAAATCCATACGGGCGAGAAGACCAATGAATGCCAACAATGTGAAAAAGTCTTCACTACTTCTTTATCCCTTGACAGACATGAACGAACGCATACTGGAGAGAAGCCCTATCAATGTCAACAATGTGGAAAAGCCTACAGTACTTCATCTTACCTTCAGATACATGAACAAATCCATGCTGGAGAGAAGCCCAATGAATGCCAACAATGTGGAAAAGTCTTCACTACTTCTTCTTCCCTTCACAGACATGAATGGACGCATACTGGAGAGAAGCCCTATGAATGTGAGCAGTGTGGCAAAGCCTTCACTCAGTCCAATCGCCTTCACTCACATGAAAAAAACTCATACTGGGGAGAAGCCCTATGAATGTCAACAATGTGGGAAAGCCTTCAGTACTTCTTCCTACCTTCACATACATGAGCGGACTCATACTGGGGAGAAGCCCTATGAATGTAAGCAGTGTGGCAAAGCCTTCACTAACTCCTCTATACTTCACAGACATGAAAGAACACATATGAAAAAGAAACCCTATAAATGCCAACAATGTGGGAAAGCCTTCACTACTTTGTCTTACCTTCAGATACATGAACAAATTCATACTGGAGAGAAAACAAATGAATGCCAACAATGTGGAAAAGTCTTCACTACTTCTTCTTCCCTTCACAGACATGAACGAACGCATACTGGAGAGAAGTCCTATCAATGTCAACAATGTGGAAAAGCCTATACTACTTTGTCTTACCTTCAGATACATGAACAATTCCATGCTGGAGAGAAGCTCAATGAATTCCAACAATGTGGAAAAGTCTTCACTACTTCTTTTTCCCTTCACCGACATGAATGGACGTGTACTGGAGAGAAGCCCTATGAATGTAAGCAGTGTGGCAAAGCTTTTGCTCTATTGTCTAGCCTTCACTCACATAAAAAAACTCATACGGAAAATAAACCCTATGTATGTCAACAATGTGGAAAAGTCTTCACTACTTCTTTTAACCTTCACAGACATGAACAAATGCATACTGGAGAGAAGCCCTATGAATGTAAGCAGTGTGGCAAAGCCTTCACTAAGTCCTCTAAACTTCACAGACATGAACAAATGCATACTGGAGAGAAGCCCTATAAATGTGAGCAGTGTGGCAAAGCCTTTAGTATTTCCTCTAAACTTCACAGACATGAAAAAACTCATACTGGGGAGAAGCCCTATGAATGTCAACAATGTGGGAAAGCCTTCAGTACTTCTTCCTATCTTCACATACATGAGCGGACTCATAGTGGGGAGAAGCCCTATGGATGTAAGCAGTGTGGCAAAGCCTTCACTGACTCCTCTAAACTTCACAGACATGAAAGAACACATACTAGAGAGAAACCCTATGAATGTCAACAATGTGGGAAAGTATGCACTACTTTGTCTTACCTTCAGATACATGAACAAATCCATACTGGAGAGAATCCCAATAAATGCCAACAATGTGGAAAAGTCTTCACTACTTCTTTTTCCCTTTGTAGACATGAACGGACTCATAGTGGAGAAAAGCCTTATCAATGTCAACAATGTGGAAAAGTCTACAGTACTGCCTCTAACCTTCACATACATGAACAAACCCATTCTGGAGTGAAGCCCTATGAGTGTAAGCAGTGTGGAAAAGCCTTTGCTAGATCTTCTCAGCTTCACAAACATGAACAAACTCATACTGGAGGGAAGCCCTATGAATGTAAATAGTGTGGCAAAGCCTTTGCTGAATCTTCTCAGCTTCACAGACATGAACGAACTCATAGGGGAGAGAAGCCCTATGAATGTCAACAATGTGGAAAAGCCTTTGCTACATCCAGTCACCTTAAGAGTCATGGAAGAACACATACTGGAGAGAAGCCCTATCAATGTAAGCAGTGTGGCAAAGCCTTCACTCAATCCCATCATCTTCACAGGCATGAAAAAACACATACTGGAGAGAAGACTTATGAATATCAACAATGTGGAGAACCCCTTGACACATCCAGTGAACCTCACATACATGGAAGTATTCATGCAGAAGAGAAGCCTAATGAATACCAACAATGTGGAAAAGTCTTTTTCTTGTTTTTTCTTTCACAGACATGAAGGGACTCACACTCAAGAGAAACCCTATTGGGGCTGGAGATGTGGCTCGAGCGTTAGCGCGCTCGCCTGGCATGCGTGCGGCCCGGGTTTGATCGTCAGCACCACAAACAAACAAAGATGTTGTGTCTGCCAAGAACTAATATATAAATATTAAAAATTTTCTCTCTCTCTCTCTCTCCTCTCTCTTTAAAAAAAAAAAAAACTAGTATGGCACCATCTATTCCCTTTACCCCTTTGATCTGCTCTGTTTAATTCAGGTAGATAGCAGAGGGAGTAGTGTCTTTGGTTTCACAATAGTAATATTACTTTTTTTAAAAAAATTGCCATTATTCTTGTAAGCCTGGAACAACAGCATCTTTCCAAAGGAACTAGCAGAAGTGCCCTTGAGGGCTGGGGTCCTACTCAGTGGTAGAGCACTTCCCTAGCATATGTGAGGCACTGGGCTCAATTCTCAAAACTGCAAATAAATAAAATTAAGGTCCATTTTCAACTAAAATATATTTTTTAAAGTGCCCTTGATTTGCCCTGCTAGACAAATGAGGCCTCACCACCATCAGCAGTGGACAAGATTCTACTTGCACTGTGCATGGTGCCCCAGCTGGCTTCACGCAGTTCCCGCCACCATTCCGGGTCGCTGATCCAGGCACCAGTTTATTTTGGCTGCCCCATTCTCAAAGACACAACTTCAAGACATCAGCAGCGCCCTACACCGCAAAGCCGGGGGATGGAGCGGTACCAGGGTCCCGCATCCGCATTAGCGACAGTTAGGGCACCGTAGTTCAGTTCGACTGTCGCCTGGGGCCCTCTCCCAGGCTGCGGGTCTAACGGGAAGCTGGTGGGGGAAGTCCTCACCGACGGGAATCCCCACGCACGCTGCGCCTCGCGTCACTGGGGCAAGGGGGCGGGGCGAGGCACGGATTAAAGGGCCTAGGGACTTCCTTACCGGAGACGGGAGTGTCCAGGATCTAGACGAGGGTGCCAAGGGTCTAGACCTGAATGGGGAAAGATGGGAGGATGGGTCCGGTAACAGCCAAACGCCATCTCCACGTAATGTGCCTCCATATATATAAACACACACGGCTGCCCTTCCCAGGCCTCAGCCCAATGCCTTCTTTCCGCCTGATGTCTGGCCCCTACATCCAGGGGAAGAATGTCCCTCTCCGCTCGAGCTCCTAGCCCGGAACCACCCGGTGTGCACGAGCCTGGTGGGCCGGCGTGGACCAGGCCGGGCAGGGGGCGGGGCGAGTGCGGTGACGCGACCGTTGCCTTGGGAACCCGCCGCCGGCTCGGGCGC